AATTTCCATCTTTCAAGGATGTTTTGGGAAGAGAATCACTGGGACGGAATGACTAATTTAGCATGGCGTCCAACAGAGGAAGAGACAAGAACATTTTCAAGGTTCCTGCAAGATCTGTGATTGGGATGACGTTATTAGGAGTTTGGGGACATGGGAAGAACATTTCATTTTGGTGAGAAAGCCAGAATAACTTTAGTTCTGAATATCTGCGCTCTGAGTGCCTGGTCTGCGCGTCTGTTGCTGTGAGGAAAGCCACTCTTACCCCACTTGCCTGGCAGTGACATCAGTTATTATCACGCACTGTGCAGGGAGCTCTGGGTTCAGCTGGGCATGTCTGCAGTGAGCTGCAGCTGGGGAAGAGGGCAGGGAAGGCGGGGAAGCTCTGTGCAAGGCGGCCTCCTCACTGCAGTGGGGGGCGCTGTGGCTGGGACCTCACCCAGCAAGGGCTGCCAGGGAGCGGCCTTCCGAAAAGTCGTGGCTGACACCGCCAGCTCCCTTAACGGCCAGGTCTGGAGCCGCGACACCATCACTTCTTTGTGCTCTATTGGTCACAGTGTCACAGGGCAGTGGCAACAGCCTCCAGCTCTCAATGGGTGGGTTGTCAACCATGGTGCCGCCATCTTTAATCTGCTCCTGGGCTTATGAGACACATGTGTAAAGATGTTTTGGGGACAAGAGCCAGCCCTCGTGTAGATTTCCAGAAAGAAGTTAGCAGTAGAAATGGAAATGGGAAAATTTCTAGGGAAAAGTTGGGAGTCAAATCCAAGGCAATGGGTAAGACCAAGAAGCTGAACGGGGAGAATGACATGGAAACAAGCACAGAATAGGGATGGGCCACACAGGAGGAAGGAGAGAGCCGAGAGGCGGTGATCCGGGAACCTGCCCAGGCAGCTAAGACAGGAAAGGGTGAACAGGAGGACCAGGGCACAAATGCTGCCTGGATACCGGCCAGGGTGAAGTGTAAGGTGCGGGGTTGGAGTTCAGGAGACGCCAGTGCCTCTGCAGAGGCGCTGACCCACGAAGGACTTGCAGGGACTCAAGACGAAAAGGGGGAGCACATGAGCGTCCTCTGGGGGGGTGCCTTCTTGGGGGTGTACCCCCTGGGGTGCAAGGGAAGGAAGCTGCTTCCCAGTCTTATTTGCCTGATTTTAGGATGGCCCCAGCTCTCCTAGGAAAAAAGAGTCAGAACAAAGAAAAGGCCAACTGGTGGACACGGACTGGGAAGGGCCGGCCAGCTCCTGGAGGACGGCACATGATGAGCACAGACACCGTGGAGGTGAGCGTGTCAGGTGTGGGGAGCGCTGGGGGAACTTGAGGAAAGCCTCTGAGCGCCTGCGAGGAGGGAGCTGAACCCCTTCACTCCTGGGGGCCCTCAGACTCCCGTCTCCTGTGCGGCAATGTCAGGCTCCTTTTCTTGTCACCCAGCTTACCCCAGCCATCCCGTGTCCCAGTCCCTTTCTGCAAAGCACCCCAGATTCAAGAGCTGGAGCCAGAGATTCTTCCTCCTTACACCACCTGCAGAATATTCCTTTAAATTGTAACCCCGTACCTTGCCTTTCCTGTATAAGAGAAACACTGGCGTCCTTTTCCTTTCTAAGCTCTATGTAAATACAAGGGGAAAAGGGCAAGGAGCATAGGTTCAGCATGAGCAGCGCCAGTCACAGACACACACGCCGGAGGGTGGAGAGAGCAGAGGAGGAGCAGCAAGCTCAGACTGCAACCCCAAGCATGGTCTGTTTGCATCACCTTTTTTTTTTTAACATTCTGATTCTAACTGTTGAGTAGACATGGAGATAGAATTAAAATAACTTAGCAAGTTAAGAATTTATAATTTACCTATCATGCATGGAAGAATTTATAAGGAGAAATGAAACAGTTTAAAGCAGGAGGGCACAGAAACACTTTCAGAAAAAGTACCTGGGGAAAATATAAGACTTGTGTGTTAAGTGATATTTAATTCTCTATCTTGTGACACACAGATAGGCACAGACTCTCATCCTCTCTTGCAGTCTGTATCTGCTGTGGGGAAACTGATTCAGTTAATGATACGACAATTGGAAGATTTTACATAAAGTTATTTTTGGAGACTAAGGCCCTACTTGACAGAAAACCAGTATGAGTTAGGAGCGAAGTATTTTAGTTTAAATAATTTGGTGAGTGAAGTAAAAAAAAAAAAGCGATGGAAATAAAAGGCTGTGTACACCAAGAGTTCTGAGGTACAGGTGATACTACAATGTCATATATATGAAGTCGTCTTGTTGCTGTCAGATGACGAAATACAAAAGAATAAAAGGGCTAGCTTTTGCTAGTTGGATTTTAATTTTTGTGTCTCCACCATGTCTTGCTTTGAATAGAATAAAAATAATGTGCTTTAAAAGGAACTTACCACTGTTTTTTTTTTTTGTTTTTTTTTTTTTTACAATGAGTGAAGAAAGGAAATGTACATTCCATGTGTATGTCCCTGTACCTGGCCTATGAGCTCCCTGAAGGAATGGGAGGTGAAAAAAATGAGTAAGTAAATGAACTATGTGCATGGAAGTAAGCTTTGACTGAACCTAATCTGAGTGACTGTAAAGGAGAATTACGAACACAGATGTTGGTACTACAGCGCATGGAATGGGTACCCATCCCAGGGACCGTGTGGACATCATGACTACACAAGGGTAAAACTGACACCCAGGAGGAACGGTAGCCGGGATGCCCCAGCTTCTGAAATAATATAGGATGTTGAACAAAAATACATATACAATAGATTAACTATCTTGAGATGCTTCAGATTAACCTTTGCTATAAGAAGAGAAATCTTAGAGAAAAGGACTTTTAAAAAGTACAAGGTGAAAACATTCTTTCTCTCCTTTTATGCTGAACTCTAGAAAAATAGTTCTGCACCTAATAGGAAGGCTGGTAGTAAAATGGAAAATACACCGATTTCTATTTGAAAATTGTTCAACCATATCTGGAGTTTATAAATTAGCTACAATCACAGTGCTAAGAAAGAAATACTGGAAGAAAATAGGCACTTTTAGAGTATATTATTTAATTCCACAAATGAACTCTTTTAGTGGATAGAACATTTCATTCTATGCTTAGAATCTCTCATTAGGAATAGGTGATCTGTTTGATTTTATCCCACAGAATGGATTTGTAACAGCTAGCTTGGGAGAGTCTATGTGAGCTAATAACTTCACTTCCGCGGTGTGCAGCCTTCGCTAATTAGCCTGTAAATCATCCTCTGAGGCCACTGCATAACTCTGCCCGTCCTGTCTGGCTGCTCCTTCTGAGATGTGAAGGAAGGGGGCAAGGCCTCCGAGACATTAAATCTGTGTTAAATAATGGCTACAGAGTCGTGGTTGAGACACAAGTATGAGTGTGCGCCTGCGTACAGTACAGTAAGAACCGGATGAGCTCGGGTGGTTCTGTCCTTTCACTTGAGAACCAAAGAGATGCTGGCGGGGGTGGGGGTACAGGGCAAAGGCACTAGGTGCGCCAGGAGTGATGCTGTGCTCTGCCCCCAAAGGCCACGGCCTCGGGCAGGCACCCAGTGGGCTCCGCCCCGTGCCCTGCAGGCAGTTCGGACTCAGCCTCTCCGGAAAGCCCTGACCTGGAGCCCAGTCCCCACCTCCGGTCCCTCACAGACGGCACACGAGAACATCCATATGACACGTTAGTTCACTTTGTTTCTGTGAATTTAAGTGATTTTGTGGTGCTCAGGATGGAAGCCAGGACCTTGTAAAAATTAGGCAAGTGCTATACCCCCAAGCTACCCCTCCAGCCCTGGCATACAATGTTTTATTAAAAGTATTGTTCACAAGCAAGAATTTCCATCTACCTATGCAAATACACACATATATACACATACATAATGTTTTTATATATGCATATATATTTAATTTTTTTCAGTATTTATTCATAAATCTGCAGAAGAAAGGAATCCAGGGCCTTCACACTGAGCCACATCCAAGCTCTTTCTGATTTTTTATTTTGACACAGGGTCTTACTAAGTCATAAAGCTTCTCAAGCTGGACTTGAACTTGTGATCCTCCTGCCTCAGCCTCCAACAGTGTGGGGATTACAGGTATGCCAGGCTATATCATCTATATTTATATCTAGAGCTACTTGATCAAGACAGTTTCTGAGGTATGTGTGCATACGTAAACTAATAAAAATGAAATCTGGTTACAATGGAGAGACCTTAAATACTGGCGATTAAGTACAGTTTTCTATTCCCGAGAGCAGCATCACTAATTCTCCAATAATAAAATATACAGAGAACCACTCAGTGATCACCAGCTAAGATCTCGGTGTTCCCTTTCTCCTCTGACATGGTGTTTAGCACCTGCAAGTCCTGTGGTCACGCCCAGGCCCTGGTTCCAGGGCTCAAGGTTAACCTGGCCATCTCCACTGGCTGAAGGGTTACAGCATGGTTCAGAGCAGCTTTAACTCACACAGCCGACTGGGAGTGGGGACTGCACACCTGCGCATCTGCAGCGGCTGCCTCTCCTGTGGCTTCCTCTCTCTACCCCACTGCCTCCGCTACGGCTACCGTCACTGCCGCTAAGGCCACAGCTTCTCCTTCAAAATAAGAAGCCCTTGGAGAAAGCGCTGCTTGCAGCATGGGCCGCTCCCCTGCTGGATGACAGAGTGTGTCTCTTTCACTTCCATTCTGATTAAGTGAAAGCCTCTTAATTTGGGTTATTATCGATACATAAATCTGCAGAAGAAAGGAACATGCATTTATAATGTACCCAGCATGACATGATTTATTGTTCTTATAATGTGTAAATACAGAGGATAAAGCAAGAGTCCAGCTCTCAGATGCCCTGGACAAGACGTGCCGCCGGGCACTAACGGGATGAACTCATCCTCAGAGTGGCCAACCTCACCCCAGCGAGGTGTGCCCGGTGGCCGCTTCCGAGGTCAGCCTGCCTACTCTACTGCACGGCCCTTGCTGCCCAGCTTTGCAGGGGGTACAGCGCATGGCTCACAGCGGGTCTCCATACCTGATTGTGGACTTTGTTTGGGGATCCTGGCCTCGGCCTGCGGGCTGGAGGTGGAGTGCGTTCGCTGGTTGGCAGAGCTGTGGACCAGGCTGGGGAGGGCGGCCGACGAGTTCTTGCGAGGCTTTGCGTCCTGCAGCCACATGGGCGAGGCTTCGAAGGCCTGCATCCTCCGGGCGTGGCTGTTGACGTTGACTTTCAGGTAGGCCTGGGCCTTGTGCTCCTGCAGCTCCCCGTAATTGGCATCTGTCACTCTGCACTCGTAGAGGCCTTCGTCCTTTTTCCTCACTTTGGAGATCTGAAGCTTGTGGGAGATGTCATTGCCCTGGACCTTCACTGTCTGGAGAATTGCAGGTGAAGAGAGAAAGGGCTCCATCAGATGCCTTTGCTCCTGTGTCCTGTGCTCGCTAATGCTGGGAAGTTAAGGGGCTGGGGGCTCCTCGCGCAGGCAAAGGGTCTTCACTTCTGCAGCCCAGGTCTGCAGGCTCAGGTATTCCTGTCTCCAGCAACTGCGCGCACAGACGCTGGACTGGCTCCACGCAGCGGGCGGAGTGGCTTCGTGGGCCACACTGCCCAGCTGTGAGACTGGGCACCCTTTCTCCTCAGAGACTGGGTATCGAGCTCAGGGGGGTGAGACCTAAACCAGCGACCAACTCTACAGTTTATAAAGACTCTTCTCACTGTGCGCTGCAGGGGAGCCCTCTGAAACGTGGGCACTCACAAGAATGCTTTCATAACAAATGAAGTGAGGGATACAAAGGTACTTGCACCCCAAACTGGGATCAGGACTGAAGGTCCAGTTGGAGCAGACACGGGTATTGCTATGCTTCTTCACAAAACGCTAACGCCATCTTTCTGTGGTCTCGGGGGTGGGGGGTTGGGTGTGGAACTGCACACGAGAACATCACCTGAAGTTTCACAGCCCGGCATAGATGGCCCACGCCACCTCAGGAGCTTGAGGGTACGCACCAATTTGATTTTTAAAACTGAAATGGACTTTTTAGTATCTTCTCATGATTTTTATCCCAGATTAACAGCAAAATCGTATGTCTCCTACATATAGCAGTAAAATTATAATTATATATATGAGTATCATGACCAGAATAACTAGAAATATGACATATAACATGTCATCTTCACTTGACAGCATGATACAGTTCATAAAATAATTGGGATTTAAGGATTTGGTTGATTTTGAAAGACAGAAATAAAGGGGGAGGTAGAACAGATATTTATTCTGCTAACAGCTATTGCTTACTCAAATGGCCATTACTCATTGAGAAAATCTAAGAATGACTCATTTTTTACATATAATGACGTATATATGTATGTATGTAATGTACATGACAATTTCTAACATTTGGACCATAACTATAGTTGTGTGTATACAAAATTACATATAAATATATTAATACTACAAAAAAACAGGAGTTCGTTCCACATATATTATGGGTCAAATATTCTAATGAAATTTGAAGTAGAATATCTCTATCATTATTTTCCCATTTTACAGCACAATTAACCGAGGCTTATTTTGAGCCAGTAATTCTCAATAGTACATTGGCGTCATGTGGGGAGCGGTTATGAAATATTTTCCTCACTTAATGCAGATGTAATAATCCTGCTCATCTAGGGGGTGGAGCTTTACCAATCTTTAATAAAAGCTTTCTTGGAAATTCCAATAACTTCATTTAGGACATATGCTCAAGGTCACACTGTGGGTCCATTGGGAATGAATGTTTTGTGTCTAGATGTCTCTGCAGTTCTCTAGATCTTATGAACCACTGACACAGTTAATGCTAGTAGCAGCAGCGTGCCTGCTGTGTCTCTGACTGCACGGATCATGGGCTATTTCTTGTCGCTGGTCTTTAGAAGACAAGGCGTGGATGAAGGGTATAGTCAGCAAACAACCTCTTGACTGCATGTGTCTGTGAAACTGACATCCTTCAGAAAAGCACTGTTACTTGCTTTTATCAATAAAACTTTATTAGCACTCTGTTTTAGAAAAATTAAAATGGACTGTAAAGTGACAGTGGTTTCCTGAGCTATGAAGTGGAATTTATTTTATGATTGGCTGTTTTCTTCCATGTTGAGAACATGTACTTAGTGCAGATGTTGATTCTTTGACAATATATTTTTACACTATTAATTGCAATGTAACCCAAATCTTATACTACTTTGTTATAGTAAGAGCGTCAATATAAAAGTCCTTTTCAAATGCTGATCACTGGGCTTTTAGACTTCTCAAAAGTAATATATTCATGATCATCAGATTTTTTCCTTTTGTATTATATAACTAGTTTATTTCTGGTGGCAAAGGTTGTTTATTATTGATCAAGTTCAGCTGTGTAATATTAACTTTATATTATTTCATGGCTTCATTTTTGGTGTGGTAAAGAGTGAGATTTCCACTTATGTTTTCTCATTTTATACACAATCACTAAAACAGAGCAGAATATATTTTTATGCTTTCAGTAGGCCCGTCTCCTCTAATAATGACAGACGTATTTGCTTTCGGGTTGATACTTTTATGACTGGCGCTCTACCATCAGATCCCAGATGTACTGGGGGTGGGTCACACCGACTCCGCCCCCGGGCTCCTGGTTTGGTGGCCCGGCCTCCCCTGCCCCGCCCGCCGCCCCGAACCCTGAGGCCGTCTCCCCACCTCCCCGTCTGCTGGACGCAGTCACTGCCCTCCACGCTGCCTGTCACAAAGAGCCAGAGGAGCTCTGTCCCCGCCTGTCGGATGGGAAGTGCTCTGCAGCCAGAGCGAGGCGCTCGCGGGGGTTAAGCCGCACACGTCCACTGGGGACAGATCTGCTGCACTTTTTCTGCCCCTAACACGGTGGCCAGGGAAGGGGCCGCCTCGGAGCCCTGCCGCTGCCCACCCCACGCGCACTCACGCTGATCTTGGTCCCGTCCAGGTCCGGGTCGCGGTCGGGCAGGAGCTCTGCCTGCGGGAGGAGGACGCAATCAGGCTGGGGACGGGGACCCGGCTGGGGCAGGCACAGGGATGGACCGCCTCGGCCCGTCCCTTGGGCCGGAACTGTCCTCCCCAGGGGCCAGCCGGGTGGCGCGAAGACAGAACCGCCCGGCTCCCGCCTGGGGCCTCGGGGCTCCCCCGTCCCCGCCCTGTCCCCCCCGTCCCCTGTCCCTTCCCGTCTCCACCGCAGCTGCCCTCGGAGGCCCGGGTGGGGGTGTCCGCCCTGCACGACAGAGGCGAGCGCGGCCCTCCCGGGGCTCCTTGGGAACAGGCCCGGGCTGCTCACTCGTGGGTGTCGGGGTGGCAGCCCCGTGGAGTCCCGGGCGCCCCTGCGCCCCTGGTGTCTGCACCGCGAAGCGCCGCGCCGGGCCGGGGTGGGCACGGACCGGACGGGAGGACGACGCGGGGCGCAGGCACAGGGATGGACCGCACGAGCAGGGGCGGGCAGGCCGGACCCACCTGCGGGCCGCCCTCGGGCGCCGCGTCCCCGGGTCCCCGCAGGAACCACCACTGGATCTCCAGGTAGACCGAGGCCGAGCCGCTCTGGAAGGCGCAGGACATCTCCACGTTCTGCCCCTCCGTGGCCGTCACGTTCCGCGGGAACTCGGTGAATTTGGCTGCAAAACAGAGGTGCCCTTTGCCTCGCCACCCGGCCCCCCGTCTGCCGCACCTCGAACTCCAGAGCCGCCGCTGCCGCCCCCTCCTCGGACTGGCACTCCTGGCACCGCGCCAGAGCCTCTTCTGATGGCCAGCTCCGGACAACGGGAGGTTCGCAAGCTTGCCAGCAACTCCCTGCCGGCCGGGCTGTCCACGCTAGACCCGGATTTTCCCACAGGACTTCCGGAGGGGCTGGGGGCCACCCCGCTGCAGCCGTCCAGCCGGCGGGAGAGGCGCCGCCCTGCGCCCGGACCTCCGTGAGCAGGCGCCCGCACGGCCCGGGCGCAGCCGAGCGCAGGTCTTCATCCCGCGTGCACCGCACTCCGGCTCCGCGCGGTGGATGCCACGCACCGGGCTGCAGCACTCGGACATGGAGCTCGGTTCCAGGGGCCGATGCTGGAGTGGGCACGGAGGACTCGCACAGCCCGGCCATCCCAAGCCCGCGCTCTGCAGCGCGGTGCACAGACGGGGTGAAGCCCGGAAGCCCCCGTCTCCGGGGCGCGCAGCTCCCGGGCGCCGGGCCTCGGGTGCTGTCTAAGGGGCGCGCGGAGCGCGGGTTTCCCGAGCGTCCCGGCTGGGCTTGCCGGGCTGAGAGCGACGGCGGGGGACGAGCGGGGCCGGGCCTGCAGGGGGACCTGCGGCTCGCCCGCCCAGTGTCTGAGGGAGCCCCCCGCGTCTGCGTGCCCCGATCTCCGGGGAGGGGCCGTGTCCCCTGCGCTT